CTAAGGTGCCACAAGTACTCCTGTTCTTCTTTTTGCGGATACAGACTAACACGGCTGCTACTCTGATTAACCTGTCATTATGCAAGGCACTGCATTTAGCCGTTGGAGTGGAAATCCATCAACCTCATGATATGCATCCGAAGAAGTGGGCTGTAGTCTACGAAAGCTTATGCTCTAATAAATCTGTTAGTCTCTAAGGTGCCACAAGTACTCCTGCTCTTCTTTCTGTGTTTTACTGTAAATCCGCGTCTGGTCCCCCCGGCTCCAGGAGCTTCTGCTGCAGGATCTGCCCCCACCAGCAGCCAAGCTACCCCTGCTCCACCTCTTCCCTGCCTCCTCCCCTGAGCGTGCTGCATTCACGCCCCTCCCCCTCCCAGCGCTTCCCCTGCCACTGAATAGCTGTTTGTCGGCGCTCCTAGAGGGAGGAGGAGGGGGGGCTGCAGCACACTCAGGGGAGGAGCAAAAGTGGGGCCCGGGCACTCCCACTACACATACACCCCCCCCGGCCCCTGTCATGAGTCACTCGGAGCAGGGGGCTGGGAACACCCCCAAGATCCCAACCCAAACCCCCATCCCCCCTGCCCTAACTCCTGCACCCCCCCACACACACCCCATCCCCCTGCCCTGACTCCTGCACCCCTACAGACCCCATCCCCCTGCCCTGACTCCTGCACCCCCTCCACTCACCCCCATCCCCCTGCCCTAACTCCTGCACCCCCCACCACACACACCTCCCCCTGCCCTGACTCCTGCACCCCCACACATACACCCATCCCCCTGCCCTGACTCCTGCACCCCCCACCACACACCCATCCCCCTGCCCTGACTCCTGCACCCCCCCACACATTCCCGCCTCCACCCCTCGCAGCAAATGGAGCTGCCCCAGGTAAGCACGCCACACCACAAACTCCTACCCCAACCCTGAGCCCCCTCCTGCATCCTAACTCCTGGCCAGGCCCTGCAGCCCAACCCCCAGCCCACTGCAGCACCCTCCCATATCCCCATCCCTGAACTGAACACCAAACGGGAGCTCCTGCACCCACCCACCCCCCACTCCCAGCGATTTTCAAGTGGTCGGTGGAAAAATGAGTTTGACTACAAAAATAATCAAGGTACCTCACTTTATTTCCATTGACTTACTATTACTTACAGGAGGAGGATGAAGAAAACAAGAATGAAAACAGGGGCGGGGGGGAGATAAGAGAGAATGTTCTTTTTCTTGGCTGGGTCCCAAGGAGGGGCCACAAAAACGAAGCTGATCACAGGGCCCCACTCACTCTAAATCCGCCACTGGGCAGGACCAAGCTTCTGCCCACGCATCTGCCCAGCCCTGGGGATCTGCTCAGCCCTGCGGCCCCCTGTCATTGGGGTGCCCCGTGCCAGGGCACCCTGTGATATACAGTAAATCTGCCTCTGGGAAGGGGGACACCGGGCTGGGCTTGAGGGGGGACGGGGGAGGACTGGGATGGGTTTGGGCAGGGAAGACCAGGCCTAGTGGCTGACCTGGGCTCTCCTGTCCCCAGAAGAAATGACGTCTCCCAGCAACATCCAGGTCTTCCTGGTGCCCCCATCTCCCGCCGCCCTGTACGTGGCCCAGACCCCCATGCTCACCTGCCTCGTGGTCAACCTGCCTAGCAACTCCAGCCTCCAGGTGGTCTGGTCCCCTGAGAAGACAGAGTCCATTAGCCCTGATCACCCGGACCTCGCTAAGCAGTTGAACGGCACCTTCACCGCCTCCAGCTCCATACCCATCCTCACCAGCGACTGGGAAGCCGGAGAGACCTTCACCTGCAAAGTGGAGCACTCAGAGCTGTCCTCGCCCCTCATCAAATCCATCTCCAAGAAGTCAGGTAGGAGGAGAGCAGGGTCCCTAAGGGGAGAGGCTCCCCTATCCCAGTCCCCAGCAGGGAGGAATGCTCCTTAAGGGGAAGCCCAAACCCCCAACAACCTGGGATCCTGGCCCTGGGTCCCTTTGTGTCCCTATATGAGATGGAGACCATCCTATGCCCCATCCTGCGCTCCAGGACTACCAGCTCCCAGTCCCCAGTCCCTCCATCCTGGAGGAGAGAAGGGACGTTCCTACCCGCACACACAGCCACACCATCCTTCTCCCCGTGTGGCCCCTGCTGAGTGATGTGCATGGCTCCCCTGTGTCCTCCGTCCCCACCCACCCAAGGCAGGCGCTCTGGCCCAGGCATCTACCTCCTGCACCCCCACAACGAGGAGCTGAGCAGCTCCGAAGACTCTGTCAGCCTCACCTGCCTGGTGCGGGGCTTCTTCCCCGAGGACATCTCCGTGCAGTGGATGAAGAACCAAAAACCCGACGAGAGCTTGGAAGACATCACCACCCCGCCCATCAAGGACGGAACCGGCGACTCGAACTTCTTCCTCTACAGCAAGCTGAAAGTCAGCAAGGCCAGCTGGAACAGCGGGGACATCTACACCTGCATGGTCATCCACGAAGCCCTGCAGATGAAGTTCACCCAACGCAGCGTCAGCAAAGTCTCTGGTAAATGAAGACGGCTCCTCCCAGCCCCGCTGCTAGCATTGTCCAGTACAGCTTCCTGTAAATAATCTCTGTGCCCCCAATGACAACAAGGGAATAAATGGAACTAGTCTGAGCTCACCCCCGGTCTCCTTGTTGTGGTGTGACTGGGTGAAATCTGCGGGTCGCCCAAGGTGGACGAGGTCCCAGGTTGCAGGCTGGGAGAAGCTGAGATGCTATAAGGCTGGGGATGCCAATTCCCAGATCCTGTATGGGTGGATCCATCTATACCATGGATGGATGGGGAGATACATGGGTAGATGGCATGGAAGGAAGGATGGGAGATACATGGACACATTACTCCACGGAAGCAGTGATGGAGAAGGGGATAGATGGACAGTTACACACATACATAGTGCAGAGCCCATATCCGAGCCCAGCTCAGTTGGAAGGCCAGGTGTCCAGAGAGATGGTTAGATGGATACATACATACTTCAGAGGGAAGGACTCATAGACCAACAGATATCACAGACAGAAGGAGAGAGAGATTATTATTTGCATTAAAGTAGCACCTCCACCCTCAACTCAGATAGGGCCCTGTTGGGCTGGGTATGGCACAGACACCGTGGGAGACAGTCCCTGTGTCAAAGGGCTCACACTAAATAGAGAAAGAGGGAGACGAAACAGAGACAGCAAAAGGGGAAGGGACCTGCCCAAGGTCACGTCCGTTACCGAGCTAGAAACAGAACCCAGGTGTTCTGAGAGTCCCACCCAGTCCCACTAGACTGTGCTGCACTGAGGGAATGATGGTTGGATGGTTCGCAGGTGCGGTGCCAATGGATAAGTGGATGGAGGTGGATGGATAAATCTATGGTGAAGGTTGGAGGGGTACCCGTTCTGAAGGATGAAGGGTTGGATAAATAGATGGCCATAGATGGACTGTGATAGATGGATGGCTAGAGGTGGAGATGGATGGATGTATAAATGAATGGGTGGGTGGGTGCATATTGTAGGGGATACCAATGGGGATGGATGGGGATGGACGGATGGATGGATGGGCTAGTACAGATGGTGAGTGATAGATAGATGAGGATGAATGGATGGGTGAATATGGCAATTGATGGATGGACAACTGTGTGTTATTGGAGACATATGGTGATGGATGGCTGGGGATGGGTAATATATAAAGGCATGATAGATAAGTGGATGGGGTTGCATGTATGTATGGAAGATATGGGTGAGGATGAATGGATGGATGGTGATAGGAAGATGAGAATGGATGGGGATGGATGGATGGATGGGCTGGTACAGATGGTGAGTGATGGATGGATGGATGGATGGATGGATGGATGGATGGATGGATGGATGGATGGGAAGATAGGAGAATGGATGGGTATAGATCTATATGGATAGATGGAAGATATGGAGGACGGTTAGAGATAAGGATGGATGGAGCGTGGGATGTCTGGGTGGGTAGGTGGATCGGTGGATGGCCAAGCCATCCCTGGCATCTCACGGAGGTGAGATCCTCTCTAGGCTATAACCCATGCATACCCGGGGGGCACCGTATCAGTATCAGTATTTACCCTACATCCCCTTCCACCCCAGAGAGTAGCAGATGCCCCATGGGGATTTTCCAGCCACAGTCAGTGGGGGGAAGGTAATTAAAATACCCTGACTCCCACAGACACTCCTCTTCTGGCTAGGAAGCTAAGGAGTCTCCTTCCACCCCTTACCCTCAGTGGCAGCTGGGGAGGGGGGAGATAGGACAAGAAACAGCAAACACCCCACAGCAGGGATCAGCTCCTGGGATTCAGTCCCCACAAAGTATCAGCAGTACCGAGCACAGAGCTCACACCTGGCATTAGAGGGTGGGTAGCCGGCAGCAGCAGAGTTAGGGTTGTTATCCTGGGGCAGCGCAGGGGCACACAGAATAAGAGAGTGGGGGGGTGGCTGAGAGAGAGTGCAGTCCAGTGCAGATGGACACACCTGTAACATGGCATGACCCAGGGACCCTCCCACCTGGGCTGTCGTGTTTGTACACACACAGAGACACACAACACAGAGAGACAAACATGCACCCACACAGATCCATGCGCCTGTTCTCCAGACATCCCTAGGGCAGGGGACTCAGTAGGGGGCACCAAGCTCAGGGAGCAGCATCTTTCATGTCAGAGAGAAACCTTAAATCCCATCCTTAAAATACTTGTGGCTCTGTTCATAAAAGTGACAGTGTTCAAACTCCCCACATCCCTCAGCCGAGGCAACTACCGGCTGCACCTGGGCAAGAGAGCCCGGTATAAACAGCCCAGAGGTGGCTGCGTTCCATCTGAAGTGACTCCTGGGTGTTTCGTTACATTGGGAGCAGGGTCATAGAGGCACACCTGTGAAATCCATCCATCCTGGTCTTTAGGGAGCCCCCCCACCATGGCAGCATCCCGGCACCTCGCACACCTCAGAGCGATCCTGAGCCACCTTTCACAGGCAGAGAAACTAAGGCACAGAGACATTCAACAGGCGTCCAAGCTTCAGTGCCAGGGTGTAGGGCCACAGCCACATGGGACAAGTGAGATGAGAGCTGGGAGGCTCTGCATCCTTCATTTCATCACAGCGGGCAGCGGTGGGTGGATGGATGGAGGGGTGCGACTAGGGATGGATGGAGGTGTCTAGAGATGGATGGATGGATCGATGGGTGGTTTGTGGTCATGGATTGACGGAGGTATCTAGAGATGGATGGGTGCAGGCATGGATACATGGATAGAGGTGTCTAGGGATGGATGGATGGATGGTTTGTGGTCTTCAATGAATAGAGTGGCGAATGGGGATGGGCAGATAGATGCATGCATCTAGAGATGGATGAATGGAAGGGGGTGTCTAGGGATGGAATGATGGATGATTTGGGGTCAGGGATGGATGGATGAATCCAGAGATAGATGACTGGAGGGACGGAAGGATGGGTAGAGAAGGGGATAGGCGGGTTGATGTTGGATGCACAGTCCAAGCTCTCTCTGTCACAGTGGCTGAGTCAGAGTTGACGTCTCTTTCTCTCCCCCCAACAGAGGTGATCCTGTCAGGTGAGTTTTGCAGCGAGGACGGAGACGAGGAGCTGGACGGCCTCTGGTCCACCATCTCGGTCTTCATCACCCTCTTCCTCTTGAGCGTGTGCTACAGCGCCACCATGACCCTGTTCAAGGTGAGAGAGAGAGAATGAACGTAAGAACGAAAGAATGAACGAGTTTAGACAGTAGATAGTGTAACGATGCTGCCTTTGGTGGGACACTTCTGAGAGTATCAATTCCGGACAAATTTCTTAGAGAAAGGCAGTTACAGCCCAAGGCTGGGATTTCTCCACTTCTAAGGCACCAAACCAGCGAAACGGAGAGGACTTTGGTTTAACCGCACTGGCTAACCATAAGTCATACAAGCAATTCCCTTAGACACTCCAGTTTCCCAGAATCACCACCAGTGCCACTCGTTATGGGGACGAATGGTTATGAAAACCAATACCCCAGTAAAAGAACAAATGTTCTCCTGATCCCAAAGGGCCAAGCCCCAAACCCAGGTCAATACACAAGTCAGATCTTACCCACAAATCACGCTGTTGCCAATCCTTTAGAATCTAAAATCTAAAGGTTTATTCATAAAAAGAAAGAAATATAGATGAGAGCTAGAATTGGTTAAATGGAATCAATTACATACAGTAATGGCAAAGTTCTTGGTTCAGGCTTGTAGCAGTGATGGAATAAACTGCAGGTTCAAATCAAGTCTCTGGAGTATGTCCCCAGATGGGATGGGTCATTCAGTCCTTTGTTCAGAGCTTCAGTTTGTGGCAAGGTTCCTCCAGAGGTATGAAGCAGGATTGAAGAAAAATGGAGGGGTTTTCAGGCCCTTTTATATTCTCTCCCTGTGGAAGGACACCCCTTTGTTCTTACTGTGGAAAATCACAGCAGCAAGATGGAGTCTGGATTCACATGGGCAAGTCACCTGTCCATGCATGACTCAGTTTGCAAGCCAACGCCATTGTTTACATGTTAGTTTGAATGGTCCCAGGAAAGCTCAGATGTGGAATGGCATCTCCCAAAGTTCATTGTCAGCAGGGCCAGCCCACAACATTTTGGCACCTGAGGCAGGGAGCTCAAATGATGCCCCCATGCATCCTCGCTTGGGCCAAGACTTTGAAAGGTCTCAATTCTGCCTTCTTCCTGTTCTACTCCTCTCATGGTACTGCTCTGCTACCTACCCCAATAAAGGAGAACTAAAAACTTAAAATGCTTTGTTCAAAAATTTTAAGTAACACTTAACTTTCAAACGCCTGAACAGCAAATGTAACTTTTCTTGTCTCCATAGTAAACACTGGCATTTTTATCTGTCTGAATAATCAAAGTGGCGCTTTCCGTGCCTTCTTGATTGCAAAGATCTGAACTGCTTCCTGGAGGTCC